TTAGTAGTCTATATAGTAATATATTATTATATATTACTATATATTCATATTAGTATTATTATCATCTATTTATGAAAAACATAAATAGATGATATATAAATAGATGATATAAATATAAATGATATAAATAGTATGTAATATAAATAAATGGAAATAAATAGATTCTATTATACTGTATTTAGATATTTTACTCAGTCAAAAAAACAATTTTATATTTATCTAAAGCTATAGCTGGTTTCCAAATTAGAAAAAAAATGCCAGTAGGAGTATGTGTGACTAGAACCTTGAATTAGAATTTCATGAGCCTTTAATTTGGCTTTTTCTAAATCTAAATTTGCTTGCTTGAGTCCTTTGATAGGGTCGAGTCCCACGGGTAATGGAAAGTGGAAAAGAGAAACGTTTGAAAACCTTAGCAGCACTATTCAATTTGAGTTTTCGACCTAGTGTGGCCATGGCKGARTAYTGTATGATATATTGAATACGACGCAGCTYGGTACGATTGWGTACAAAACTATAATAATTACAAACACCTTGTAGAATCTGATTAAATTTTTTAAGAATCTTTGCAATATCCAAGTTCACCCAGGCCAATTTGGCATGTGGTTTACCCGCTTGATCACAAAATCCAGATCTACTCAGGTTTTTTATTATATCAGAGATAGGTGCTTCCATTGTAATATTGGTTTTTCCAAGACTGATAAGTGTAGACAAGAATTTCACTTTATCGCCAAGCTCTATCTTCGAGGATATTCTCAAATTAATACAAATATCATGTACCAAGTTACAAATCTGTTTGGCCAAACAATAAGGTCCATTCACACCGAGAACTTCAAAACGAGATCTTATAGATAAATATGTAGAAGCTTGCCCTATGCCAGTACTAGAAGTACAAGAGGATCTCAAGAAAAAGTAGTAGAAAATATAACTAGGAAAGATAAAGAGGAAAAACCTGATTTAATTCTATTAACTCCTACATGTACTTGGTATGGTATAACGAAGTCTTTCTATATTAGCAGCTTCTGTTTGTTTATCTCAAAAGAACTTAAAGCGCAGAATTGCTTATTCTTCAATATCTCATATGGGTTTTGTTTTAATTGGAATTTGTTCATTTACAAATATAGGATTAAAATAAAGTAAATCTGTATATTAAAGTGACGTGACCTGCTCGTTGAACGCGTACAATTCGACTTTTCCCATTGTATGTTCGTCGATAGTACAATTAGGTAATATAAAAATATATATTTAAAAAACGAAAAATTAAAAACAATAACATATGTCTTCATTCTAAGATATACTGAATAGAAACATAAGACTAAAAGCCCATACAAAGTGTGCTCCCAAAAATATTAATCCATATGCAGATAATGGGGATCCGTAAGATTAGGCCGTTTACCTTGCCAACGTTTTGATCCTGCCTTTCGCAAATCATTTATTGAAAAAAGTTCATATTCTTAATTTAGCAGCACAAAAAAAAGTAATTCTGACATGGTCTAGAGGATCTACAATTCAATACATTGAATATATTAATATATTCAATGAAAAAAAAATATCAATAATTCATGAAATTGTTTTTTCTCTAAAAATCCATACTTTGATTCTTCTTTAATTTGCTTGAATATTTCTTCTAAAAAAGATATATAAATAAAAAATGCAATCTCTTTTTTAGTTTATAGAATTAGAAAAAAACATCTGTACAAGCTTCTAGTCTTCATCCAGTTTTGTTGAATTTAAATAATAATGTGAAAGTAAGTCATTAGGCCAAGCAGGCTCACCATAATAATTATGGCCCATGTGTAGAATGTAGAGTAATTGATAAGTTACTTAGAAAAAATAGAGTATTATAAATAAAGCAATACATTTTTATATTTATTTAGTTACATGGTACTTATTCTGATATTCAATTCAACTCTAATCTTTATCATATATTCATGAATAAGTGCTAAGGGAATTTCATAGCTGATAGATTGTGCAGCAGCACGTAATCCGCCCAATAGTGAATATTTGTTGTTAGACGCATAACCTGCTATTAATAATCCTATAGGAGTGATACTTGATATAACAATCCAGAAAAATATTCCTAACCGAATATCTGATAAAATTATATTTTTTCCAAAACGCAAATTTAAAGAAAAAAAAAATGAGGATATTAAAAGAAAATTTCTAAGTAAGGAAAAGAAAGAAATAGAGCCTTCTTCAAGTTAATTGATTAAACAATGTTAAACTTTTGATTTTCAAATAAATCTTTCCACACAAGAAAATTAATTTGTTAATTGTGAATTTTTGAATTGATTGAAAAGATAACTTTAAAAAGAAAAGTTTTAGACAATGGTTGTGAAGTACTTACTCATATATCTGGTAAAATTAGAAAAAATTATATAAGAATCTTACCAGGAAAACTGTGAAAGAAGGAATTTCCAAAGAAGAAGCAGAGAGTGTAAAAGCTCAATTAGAAGAATCAGGTGCAAAGGTAACTTTAAGATAATGTTTTGTGTTATAAATGAATAGGAACAAATAAAATATTCATTGAATTACAATAGATGAATGAGATGAGATTCGAAGCAAAAAATAAGAATTCAACAATTCTTCATTAATTGAATAAATCAAAAGGATAATGAATATAAAAAAGGCTGAGAGTTAACATTTTCGTCATCTTTTGTAAAGTCAAGTCCACTCGGTACCGTCGGATCACTAAGGCCGACTTTCGTCCCTGCTCGACGAGTCAGTCTTGCAGTCAAGCTCCCAAAAAACTTTTCTTTTTAAAGTTATCTTTTCAATCAATTCAAAAATTCACAATTAACAAATTAATTTTCTTGTGTGGAAAGATTTATTTGAAAATCAAAAGTTTAACATTGTTTAATCAATTATCATCCAATTTACATAAATGGAACTTCTTTAATAACAAAATAATCTTCTATCAACATATTAATATAGTATTCATTTAATCTATTTCAATTTTATAAAAATATTGTCTCAAACAGAAATACAATTTGTTGATTCTATTCATTCTGTTTAGTATTATTATCATTGCTCATTATACTAATTCTATAAAATAAAAAATAGATAAAGAATAGATAGAAAAAAAGAAATACATCAATCAATCTCAATCTGAATCACATATACAATAATCAATAATGGAAGAAATGAATATATCTTAATGTTGTATTGAATTTATTATTTGATAGATGAGATTTCATAAATAGACTCTACTTTTTTAGAGAAATAAATATTTTGATACAAATCACTAACTCTGTGTCTAATTTATAAAAAAAAAATTATTATGGCATTAGCTATATTAACCTTCCTTGCCAAGAATGCTCAATATCAATATTCGAATTATTGCAATATTCTATCGATTAAGTACTATATCTATCTTTTATCTCTATTCTTTATATCTAGTAATTATTTCATTAACACAAAATCACAATATATATATCCTAATGAATAGATGATATAGAGATATATACTAACCTAACACATATGTAATAGATCTTAATGAAAACTTATTGACTATTATTTTATTATATATATAGATATAATAATATTTTATGACTTAATTTCAGTAAGTCAGCTTGATGACTTTTTTTTRATTCAAAAAATAAAATGTTAAATACTGTTTTTATTGTATTTTCTATTATTTTATATTTTTTATTGTATTTTTTATTATATTAATTTATAAATTTGTCAATAAACTTGAACTAGTATGTAATTTTTTATATATTTATTTGTAGATTATAGAATTATTACTTACTTATTAACTTTAACATTAAAATATCAAGGACGAGCACGTGAACCATATATAACTACTTTAAGACGGATTAGCAAACCTGGTTTAAGGAGTTACTCTAGCTATCAAGATATACCTAAAGTGATGGGAGGCATGGGTGTCTCATTTTAGTATTTTGTAATACTTCAGGTTTACTTGTGTTATTAGGTCTTGATTTTTTTGCTATGATTTTTTTAGTTGTTTATGTAGGAGCTATTGCTGTTCTATTTTTATTTGTGGTTATGATGCTAAATATAAAAATTAAAAGTACTTTCATTTGATTTGTTGTGTAATTGCAATATTCAAATGTTTCTTTTGTGATTAAATCTAACCAAAAAACATCTTCCATGTTTTGAAAATGTTTTAAAGCTATTTTTTTTTGCTGTCAAAATCGTGCGCATCAGCATGAAGGTTCCAAATCCAAGTAGTTGTATTAGGTCCTTTAGACAGACCACAAGGATATAGGTACTTTATATCTAATCTTTGGTGCAATTGCTGTTTAGTCAACATGATGGTTAACCGAATCTTAAAAAATGGAAAAAAATCCTTAGCTTCACTGAATTTTTTATGAGTCTGATAAGAAATTTATATAATAAATAAATGTGTTAACATAATACAATATAAGAATAATCAAATATAGATAGAATAAATAAATTACTATATTATAGAACTATATTATAGATAATTACTTTATTCTATTCATTGTATACTTGATGTTCTAATAATAGATTAATAATTTTTTAATTATTTGATAACATACTAATGTAGAATAATGTAATATGATAATAACATATATATTACAATGAATAATTAAATACAATAAATCATAATTGTAGTAATTAATTCACTATGTTGTATAATGTAGATTCTTGAAACAAAGTATTTCTAATGGATACTTAATTATTACTTTTACTACCATCGAGATAAATTTGCCCTCTTCCACGATTACCTCCTACATAAATAGGATATTTGAAGAAATTAGTTTGCTTGTTTATTGAAGGATCTGGAGACAAGATAGGAAAAGTTATTTCACTATATTTCTTTCAAGATGAACTGGGTATCAGTTCTGATAATCTTCTTTCCTCAAGAGGAATATTAGCTGAATCGACATCCTACAACAAGGAGATAGAGGAGATTGAGGAAAAAACTGAATTTGATATTATTCTCGAAGAAGTACCTAGCTCTAGTAGAATCACAGTAATTAAAGTGATTCGTAGTATTACAAATTCAGGACTCAAAGAAGCAAAAGAATTTATCGAAGCTTTACCAAAAACTGTGAAAGAAGGAATTTCCAAAGAAGAAGCAGAGAGAGAGAGAGAGAGAGAGAGAGAGAGAGAGAGAGAGAGAGAGAGAGAGAGAGACCGAACACCAAACTAACGTGCTGCCCTTGCAAACAGCAGAAAATCGAAAAAGGTATATATTGCTTCGCGTATTCCAACCCCTCCCCTTCACGAAGACTCCCACCTATGTGCGCAAAGTTAAAAACCTCTCTCATCCTCTCCTTTGGTGAACCCTACCGTCGTCACTCTGACAGAACCGCCTGGTCGTTATATCATTGGATTCATTACATCTGGACTGAAAAAATGCCATGTTCAGAATAATTCACGTGCAAACACGATAGGCGATTTTACAAAAGAACGACATTTTCGAGATACTCTACATAGTACAGTGTACAGTGTACTTTCCAGTGTTTCCACATAGTACATCCTGGAGATTTGAAACTTTTCCACCAATTTGAAATTTCCACATTGTTCACTGTGCTTTACATAAGCAGTGCATATTGGCTGACGTGGGTGAAGATCTTGGTCGACAGAAAAGCTAAAAGCTGACACAACCGCTATCTCGATGCAACCAGCAGGAATGCCAACGAAAAAAGAGGAGAAGCAATGTCCACGACCACCAGAAGCACATGCACTATCAAATCCTACCGGGAAAAAAAGAAAAAAGAAGAAAAAAAAAAGACACACACTAACCACGCGCACTATGGACATTGTACAGCTGCCAACTCACCGTTTCACATTGCGCTGTTATCAGTAACCTGAGTAAAGCCAACCCAGCTGGCTTTACTCCACCACCCTCCAACCTGTCTGGCTTCACAACACTCTACAGCCCATCTGGGTTTTACTGCCTTTTCCAGCCGGTCAGTTGTTCGAACCCCCCCCCTTCCAATCTGGATTTACTGTGGGTTTACTGTATTTTCCAGCCGGTCAGTGGTTCGAACCCCCTTACTGCCTTCTCCAGCCCGTCAGTGGTACAAATCCACTTCCAATCTGGGTTTTACTGCCTTCTCCAGCTGGTCAGTGGTTCGAACCCCCTTCCACTCTGGGTTTACTGTGTGTTCTCCAGCCCGTCAGTGGTTCGAATCCAACTCCCGTCTGGGTTTACTGTAGTTTCCAGGCCCATCTGGCTTTACTGGTATTCTCCAGCTGGTCCGGTCAGTGCTTCGAATCCACTGACAAACTGGGTTTACTGGTATTTTCCAGCCGGTCAGTGGTTCGAATCCCACGTGAAAATCGTTGCCGGGGAAAGGGGGGGGGGGGAAGAGGGGGGATTACTCCCTCGTCCTTCTCCTCTCCTCCATCTGGCCATAAGTCGTCCTGAGCAGGTGCAGAGTCAGCTGTAACCAATGGGACTCTGCACGTGATCACCTGTAATGTAATGTGCACACACTGGCCTGTCTCAGTCTCAGTCTTCCCTCAAGAGCGTCATCAGCACATGCACACCAACCATGTTTAGCCTTCGGAACACTTCCAGCCCAAGGCCAAGGAACGGAATGAAGGTCAACGTCTCTCTGTTCAAAAGCAGCGTATGAAACCACCTGCAGCAGCCACAATAAAACAAATTCCAATTCCATTGCTAAGTACCAGAAATATATATAACGCTGGTGTCTAAACCGTCCCCAACAATTAAACTTAGCCTCAGACCCTTCCACCATTCTTCGCCACACCATTTGGGAGGGAGGGAGGGATGTTGCAACAAGACAGAAGCCACAGGAACACTGCAACAAGCCAGAAGCCACAGGAACACATCCACAGCCAAAACACTGTTCGTTCTTGACAGGGGCAACAAACACACACACACACACACACACACAAACGCACACACACACACACACACACAGAGAGAGAGAGAGAGAGAGAGAGAGAGAGAGAGAGAGAGAGAGAGAGAGAGAGAGAGAGAGAGAGAGAGAGAGGTGGGGGGAAGACGAACACAATGTCACACATCGATAATCATATTTTTCTATAGCTGATTCTCTTCCTCTTGTTCTGAGAAGTTACACACTTTTGTGTGCAATGTGCATTCATTGCATCTGGACTGTTTGCATGTTCTCGTCCATTGAGATGTGCCAAATAGTCGGTGCTCGTCTGCTTGGATTGCCTGCAAATACTAATAAGGGGCCCGCCGTGTTCAGGAAGCCTGTGTCTCTGTCTCCCATGACCGTGACAGACCTTCGTCTCGTGGCTCACAAGCTCTTGATGGTGTCGTGGACCTAAGGTCTGCCGACCGCACTGCCCAATGCAACTTCTTGTGCTGTGAGTAGAAGACGATCTGCGCTGGTTCATATTTTGTGTGTGTGGATGATCCATGTGTTTTATGTGTGAAGCTGCTGTGAACTGCCATATTCATGTCAGTACCATAATGCTGGCCCCAGTTATTCATCTACTTGCCCTGCGCTGCCTCGCTGCTCATCTGCTTCTCGCCTCGGGTTCCCTCCGCAATCCAACTGCTCAGACTTGCCACTTGCCTTGCCCACTCATTTTGCTGCTTTACCTGCGGCTTGCTTTGCCGCACCCCTACCCCTACCCACTTCTCGCTTTTCTCTTCTCCTCTCCTCTGTCTTTCTCCCTTTTTTTTGGCCCCCTCACCCTTGCTTTTCGAAGTCTCCTGTGTCTTGCTTCTCATCCACTTGATTTGTGTTGCCTTGCGCTTGCCAACCTTCATCCCTTCCTGTCCACCCGCCTAACCTAACCCCTCCCGCCCACCTTTTTCGTATTTTCTGCCTGCTTTGCCTTGCTGCTTGTCCTGTCAGCTGCCTGCGAAAGGGCTGGGAACTACACAACGACTATCAGTATTCCGTGCATCTGAGAAGAGAGAGTCTCTGGATTCGACGTTGAGTCTGCCTTTCAAGAGTTCATTAATGAACCAACTGAGATAGGCCAGTTGGTACGACCATCAATATGGCGATTCTGCAGATTATTACATCCTTGGGGCCAACCTCCTGCCAATTAATCAGTCTCTCATGAATCATGATCCTTCATCCTTGCCTTTTCTTCTTCCTTTTTCCTTTCCCACCAAAGTTGGGTTTCTGGGTGGTTTGAACGGTTTTCACATACCACAATCTTCTAATATCGTACCTATATAGTATATATAATATAATATAAATATAAAATATATAATATATATGGTAAACCAGCCAGGCGCCTGGACCTGTGTGTTTTTGATCGAGAGCTTATTATATGACACGACAATACCACAAGTGTTTGTAACTTACATACGGGAGGGAGTCAGGTGAGATCGGCGACGAGTCGCTGCGGTGCCCTAAACCAGGCGACTCTGATGATAGATCAGATCAGATGTGAAGCATCTGCTCTGGCGAGCGGAGTGAGTGCCAGGATAGAATCATGAGGTACCCCACGATAGGTTCTCCATGCTTGTGTAACACAGCTCGACAGCTCACACTGCAAGCGGGAATGTTTTCCAATGTGATCCATGCTTACTTAACAAAGCTCCGCTCGTCACAGCATACTGCACTACATGCGCACACACACATACACATGCTCACACACACACACACACACACACACACACACACACACACACACACACACCACACACACGCCCGCATGCACACATATCCGCATACACATGCAAACAGACATGCGCACACATGCACACTCCCACACACATACACGTGCACACACATGCACACACATGGATACGTGCAAACACATGCGCACAGATGCAGACTTGCCGCCACTCTTAAGTCTGCTAGGATTGCAGGGTTGGTGTGCGTAAAGTCGACCGCTTTTCTTTCTCGGGGCTGTCGCTAAGTCTAGAGGACATGGTGAGTTCTTATCCACCAGTCAAATGCATCATCCTGGGCAGAATGTCTGTCCAGGTTCAACCTGCTGATGAGTCGGCGAAAGACTGACAACACAGTCTGGTACAGTCATACTTTTTTTGTGGAGTCGCATATAGCGAGCACGACAACACACACACACACACACACACACACGCACACACACACACACACACACACACAATCAGTTTTATGTATCTCTGTTTGTTCTCTTGCTTTTTCTCGTTCGCTCAATTTGTTTCTAAGTACTTTCTCTCCGTTGGATCGTGCACCCTCAAGAAGTGCTGAACAGTAGGTGGACCTTAGTCTGGAGCGTCTGCGGCACTCCTAGGAGGGGGGCGCTCGGTCTGGGATGTTTGTGTTGCCTGTGGGTGATGACGGACGTTCGTCTGGGTGGTTCCCTGGCTCAGCAGGTGGTGGGAAACAACAGTCTGCGGGGTTCAATCGTGATGTGAGCAGGTGATGTGCCGCTTTGCTCCATGTTGGATGTGTAGACCGCCTTGTATGCGCTCCACCGCTGCCTTGCTGCCCGTCCTGCTTGTGCTGCATGTATCTCTTTGCAAAGCTGCCATGTTCACTGTGTGGTGTGGTTGTGGTGTTAGTGTTGCCCGTGCTTCGCTGCGCTGCTGCCTTGCTGCCCAGCCGCGTGCCGTGCCTTCCGTGTTCCTTGCTTGTGTGCCGTGTAGCATGGCTGCTGTGTTGGTGCTGCCTTCTGCTTTGCCGCACTGTTGGCCTGCTGCTCGTCCGTCCGCTTGCCATGTCGCTCCTTGTAGTCGTTTTTGGCGTCAAGTCGGGTTGCTGCTGCGACGCTGCCTGGTGCTTTGCTGAGTTGGTGCCCTGCTGCTGTGTTCCGCTTGTGGACACTGCCTTCAGCATCGGTCAAACGGTTTGACCCAAATCATCAACACGGAGATTGCGCAGATTGTCGAGGGTTCAGCCTCCTGATGAGTCAGTGCAACTTATTTTTTTCGGTCTTCGCATTTTTTTGGGACGTATTATTTTTTGGTAGACTGTTCTGCGTGTTTGTGTGCCGCGTGCCCTCCCTCCTCCCCCGTGGTCTCCAGCCTTTTTTGTCCTTTGATGCACCCTGTCGTCCAATGCCTTGTTGGTTGTCTTGTGCTGTTTTCTTTCTGTGTCTTTGTATGTCATCTGCTCTACCCTAATAATCCTCATACATCTCTTGAATGTCTGCATGCCGAATGCTTCACTCCTTTCCGCGATTTTGTACTTTCTGCCAACTGTTAGACAGTGGTAGTTACAATAATGGTGAACGTGATTGTATCAAGGATATCGTACATGCGTGTATTTACACACACTCATCTCCACACACACACACACACACACACACACAATGTTAAGGATACCGGACATGCGTGTGTTAACGCACACACATCTCCACGCACACACACACACACACACACACATCTCCACACACACACACACACACACACACACCCACACCCACAAACAAACAGAGCGCTCAACTATGAAGGCAGAACTGCGAGCCCACCACCACCACCAACCCTCACCAACCCTCACCAACCCTCGCCACCCTGCAACTATGCTTACCTGTCTTCATGCCGCAACACTTTGCCATTTTGAACCTGAGCATGGACACACAGCATCACAGGAGGGAACAGCATTCATTAGATGCATAGACACAGGGGGCACAGTTCACAAGAACAGCTTATCAAAATGTCACGCTATTACTTTTTACTAGCGACTAGTGTTTACATTTACCTTCTCCTCCTAAAGACACATTCAAATCTGATGGTCAGCTGATCAGCTGACACTGAAGCCTCTTGTAACTGCGCATTCCCAGTTTGAGACAATTGCTCCGAATTTCAGTTTTTTACCCTCTACTTACCCTCAGATAGGGAACCAACATATGTTCGGAGATGCTCCCCCCCTTTTTTTTCGAAGGGGAAAAAAAAAAGAGAAGGGTCATGGAACGGTGCCAGCCCGCCAGCCTGTGCCAGGGGCCCAGGACATCGCTACCAGCTAGACAAATCAAAGAAGAAAGTTTGATAAACAAATGAATAATTAAACAAAAAAAAAAAACAAATGAATAATAGAATATAGCATTCAATACAGGACACATAAAATGAATACAATAAAATATCTTCATTTTTTATTGCTCTAATAAAGTATTCTTTATTGTTATTATTAGTATTATTATATTGATTTTACGGTGCCAGCCTGCCAGCCTGTGCCAGGGCCCCAGTACATTGCTACCACGAGATTACCACCCACGATCACGATCATGCAATTCCCAACTGCATTCGAGAGGGGTATTTAAAATTTGAAATGAATGAAATGAACAATTATGAATCGCACGAACACTGAGGTCTTTCTTTTTGGGCAAATTCTATTTTCATACTACCAAAAAACGAAATTATGTTTTCGTCAGAATTTGCCACTCCAAGAATGATGAAACTAATACCCATTTTGTTTAGTGCTCCGTTGAGAGAACTCAAACTCTCGGGCAGATATACGGATCTAATAGGTCTTCTCGCAGATCCTAAATGCTAAATATATTGCTACGAGACTATCAAGAGTAAGCCTGGTAACATGACTCCATGCAAGAGACGGTCAGTTTCTCTTTCCTTCCCTCTTCCTCAGCCAAACACACAGGTCTTTTTTTTCTTTTTTACTTCAGTTCTTTCTTTTTTTTTTTTTTTTTTTTTTTTTTTCCTCCTTAGTTTTTTTTTTCCTTTTCCCTCGGAGCCCTCCTTTACCCAAACACACAGGTCAGGTTTTTTTTTTTTAAATAAATTCTTCCCTTTTTTTTTTGTTTTTTTTGTGCGGAAAACAGTTCCAACCACTAGTGACTACTGTATTCTCCGGAACACAACACGCCCTGATACGGAATGTATACAACACATCTTTCCGTCCATGTGCAGCCAAAATGAGGGCGCGTTCTGTTCCAGGAAAAACGACGGAACTAGAAATGTTGGGCTATGTAATGAAGAATAATTTCAGGCTGAAAACTCTTTACAATCCTTTTGTTTTCCTCCGGAAGAAAAATAAATCACCAGGTCCTTCTAGTCCTTGGCCACTTCACAATCCTTTTCTCCAATTTTTCGGCCACTTAAACAATCCTATGAGTGGTGGTTTCGAATCTCGAAATGTTTAATGGAATTGAACGTGTTTTAAAAAAAAAAAAAAAAAACGAATCTCTCAATGCACCTAAGAATGCAAAACTACCAAATCCCGTGTGGCTGAATGGCACACCCAGGAAATGCTAATACGCATTCCTGCATTCATATCCTGGTGGAATTACATGAGAAAACTAACTCTGAAAACTAACTCTGAGGTTTTAAGCAGACAGTGGCAACCTGGGGTCCATCAGTTCGATCACGACACCTCAAGGCTGTTACAGAGCACATGGAAAAGGGCGGTCTCGGTCTCTAGGGTTTTCGGCAGGGGCAATCCTCAAAGACTCCAAGAGTGCCACTGATTAAAAGTTCAAAACCCTACAGACAGTCCTTTTGCATGTGCTCCGTATCAGCAGCCTCTGTTCGTGCGCGTGTGTGTGTGTGTGTTGTCATGTTCGCCATACACTCAAAAAAAGCATGACCGTACCGAACAGACTTTTGTCGGACTTTCACCAACTCATCAGGAGGTTGTGTGTGTGTGTGTGTGTGTGTGTGTGTGTGTGTGTGTGTGTGTGAGAGAGAGAGAGAGAGAGAGAGAGAGAGAGAGAGAGAGAGAGAGA